CAAAAGTTGTGGAGAAAGCCGAGAAAGGGTGGAGGAAGAGAAAGTTGGGCGAGGAGAGGACGAGAGCGAAGCAAAAGGGAAGGGAAAGGGGCGGAAAGTAAGAAACGCGGAGATAAAAGTGAAACGTCTGGGGAAAAAGCGGGGTGCCGGAAAGAGATGAAAGGGGCGCGGAGAGAAATTCTCCTTTTTTTTGGAACACGTTCGGTCGTTTCGTCGATCGATAGGAGAAACTATTGTTGCTAGACGGACATTACGAGATTGTTGAACCGATATTTTTGTTTTCCCTTCTGATTTTTTTTTTTTAATGAATTCTTTTTTGTTTCGTTTTTGCGAATCGTTAAGAGAGAAACGTGTCGCTGTTCCGTCTTTCTTTTACACACAATTCACGTTTTATCACGTTGAGAATAGTGAAATTTGTGATTGTTAATGAATAAGGAAAGTCTGTGTACGAATAATGCAAATTTTAAGTATTTAAGTCTTCTAATATGTCCTAAGTTGTTTTTTATATTGGAAAAATTTGTTGGAAATTAAAATGGGGAAGAATGTTGAGAGGTAATTTTATCCAGAAAATTAAATTTTGGTGATTCGGTTCGGTAATTCTTTTAAACTGTGATTTGTGAAATTTTTACACACGAGTAAAAATTTTAGGTGAAATTTGAAGAATTGTATTGTTCATAAAACGAGTTGCATATTTTAATTAGATACCACGAAAAGAATTAAGTGAAGTATTTGTTTTGCAGTAAAATTTTTTGTAAAATAGAAAATCAAAAATGGACATTGCTCGATTTTTTCCTCTTATCTTATTCAAATTATAATCATATTCCAATTTCACATTGTTATCATTACGAATTTTCGTTTCACAGGAGGACAAAAATATTTTAAATTATCACTATTTTATATGTGAAATCGAAATACGATTGTAATTTCTTTTTTCACATACAACGTGATACTGCGTGAGCTTATTTTTGTTTCTGCCTTTACGTTCACTTGAACACTGGATTAACGACACAGGAACACTGAATTAGCATCGAATCGTATAAAATGATTAATTCTTATATCTTTCCGAGATATTTATATATTATTCAATTTCAATAATTCTTTAATTGCAATTTATTTTGAACGTTTAAATCAATAGCAGAAGCAGTGTCAAATTACGATAATTCAGTTAAATTTCGAAATTTTTTGGTTGAAAGATGAAATCGAACATAGATATAAGAGTTAATTTCTTGTACATAATATTATTCAAAAGTTTGGGATCAATTTCTAATTTTGTGGAAATATTCTTATTTCTATTCTTTTTAACTTCTTTTTATTAAAAGCAATGACAATATTTTATTGATTTTTTAAAATTAAAAAGCATTCAGAAAAGAAGATTTAATTAAAATTTAAAGAGCCATTATTCAACCTTTCATTCAGTTTTCCATGTATATAATTTTTGAATCTAATGATCTAAAACAAAGAGAAGAAGAAATTTGTCGATCAACATATCGTGTTGAAATGAATTTTAATAATTAAACAAAAAAATCTATTATATTATGGCAAAGATATACGTGTCACAAATTTATATTATATTATATTGCACAAATTTTCTGTTCATTCTTCCACTTAAACATTATTATTTTCGAGTAATTAAGTATTCCTATAAAGAGATACAAAATTACGTTTCATCTTAAAAAAATATTAATTTTAGAACCGTATTGAATTTTCTACTTCTCTTTACAAATCGACAAACTCTCAATATATCTTTCTCCCCCCCTAATATTCTTGTATCAAGAATAATGGAACGAACGAGGCATTCAAAAACCTATTCGATCTCGGATCCCAAACTTTTGGCCAGCGATATACACGTAATCGCATATTAATCGCATATCGAATCGAATCTCGAAATTTAAATCGGCTAGATTATCCCATCGAATATTCGTGATAAACGTATTACGCAGTCGAGTAGCTTTTGATGATTAATTGGCTGTTTAGGAAATCGAACCTGAACGATTTTGCGGCGTTTAATTTTACCGATAATAACTCTATAGATTTACGCGAGGTAATTTAACCAAGATCGGCCTGCCATGGACATCGATCCATCGATCTTGAATCCCCGTAGTGGCAGTTTCGCGAGTTTGGCTCCTTTGAATCACGTAGAAAAGTGTCGTTGGGATGTTCCCGTCATTAATTAAAAACCTCATATCGAACGCTGAAAGGAAATAATTATTTTCCCTCGATCGAGCACGAGAGAAAACCGATCTTATTATATGAGATAAACGAACAAGCTCACGTTAAAAAACATTTAAAATTTTCAGAAATAATAATCTTCTTCGTACGATCGAACGAAGAATTAATAAAACAAAGAATTTCTTCGCACACGTCAAAATTATTATTTGAAAACTGTTCTCCTACAGACGTAGGATGTCCATTTTGAATAATTCATCGGCGAAAAAAATCAAGATACACCTTTTGCATATTCAAAAGAAGCAGATAGAATCATAAACGTTGGAATCGATTTTCCCGCGTACTCAATCGCGCCATCTATTATAGTCCCAACTCTTCTCTCTTGTTTCACGGAACAACTCTTCCAACACGTATATAGTCTCTCATACGCGACACTCGATTGGATCAATCCTATCCCTAGAACGACATCGGTGAACGTCGTCGTCACACGAAGAGATCACGACGAGACAGACGTTTCGAGACAATTTTAAGCTCATCCTTGGAGTCCCTCCCTCCGGTGTGAAAAGTGAAACGTCTCTATGAGGAAGGACAGCACGACGACAGGCTCGACACTGTCGCCCCGCTCGCGCGTTTGTAAGTGTTGGATCACAAATTGCACAAAGCTGTTCGAACTCGAAATACGATCGTCGATACACGATCACGATTTCTCTCGACCGAATTCAAATGAAAATGTCGATCGGGCGTAGGCGTCATCATGAGCACGAAACGGTTTGCCTCGACGACCTTTCGATCGGCAAACTCGCGCCGAGACAGGCCATTCTTTGGCACGACATTGTCTCGAGATCACTCTCGTTCCCTACACTGATAAAATTCTGCCAGCTGGTCGCCAAGTTCCCCGGACTGGCTCCACCGAGCAGGTAGGCTAGAAGGAGTAGAATGAGGCACCCACCTAGGCACCTGCCATTTCCAGTGTCGATGCTGCTGCAACCGCTCGTCTGGTTCTCGGTTGTCGGTCTCTGCACTTCTGGATGGGACACGCGCTCTACCTGTTGGCTACCTGTCCACGGCCCACCCTCCGTGTCCATCACGTTGTGCCTCGCCCCTATTGCCGTATTGTCCTGGCTCACGTCCTGGTGGTTC